GTTGTTCTTAGACTCTTAGCACTCTAGCGTGGAAGAGGCCTCTGGCCTTTTCCTCCCTCATTCAGAAGAGAGGTTCTCTAGAGGATGACTGACTTGGTCAAGGCCAGGACCCTTTGATGACTTTTTCCCAGGCAAACTTGTGCCCACAGTGTTGAACTTGTACCGACAGTGTGCCACAGTGAACACCCATTCTCATCCCCAATGAGACATCACTGAGACGTGTAAAAGACATTTTTGCAAAAAAAAGAGAAAAATATTTGTGTAATTTGCATCATACCAAGTTGCTATAGGTCTTATACTTTTTATGAGAAGTTTCATGTGTTCAGCAATGGTTGTATTAGAAGAAATTAGTGTTTGAAAGGAGAAAAGGTAGAAAAATGTCCTTAATACTTGTTTACCTTAAAGTCATGATTGTGTTAACTCTGAGATACTGCATATAATATTTGTTATGGTGGTAATTGAACTTCATGAAATCATTCATCACAGTGATAATTATATATCAGACTATTACACTGGCGGCAGTATACATTTATATTAAAGCAATTTCATACAGTAGTGACTGGAAATAGTATTATATAGCATTAGTCTTCAGCCACCAGTTCGTGGACTGATGCTAGTCTGTAGGTATAAAGAAGTTGAATACCACTTTGGTTATAAATGCTTCTCCGTGCACTGGTATGCAGAAAGGTGCCAGTTCGTGGATATAAAAAAAGCTGAAGAATGTTGGTCTACAAACATGATAACCTCACAGTGTCTGCATTGCAAACCATAAGGCCCAAAAGTAGAGAGAGAGTATGGGGAATATTGTCTGTCACGGAGGCAGAGGGAGGGTGGGAAAGGGGGTGTATACTGGGGATATTGGTGGTGGGGAATGTGCACTGGTGGAGGGATGGGTATTTGATCATTGTGTGATTGTAACCCAAACATGAAAGCTTATAACTATTTCATGGTGATTCAATAAAATTTTTAAGGAAAGAATGTTGGTCTAGATACTGTAACTGAAGATGTATGTCAGAAAAGTGAACAAATTACTGGAAAGCGTTACATGAGGCTGAAATTTTCTAAATGTATCTAGCCTGAATGATGGTGGACTGAGTTTTCAAGATTGGTTCAATATATTTTTATTAGGCTATTTAGAGCTTTACACAGAGTGTAATCCTGAATGGGTAACTTTCTCTCCAATTTTATTTTAAATAACCTGGAATTATATACCTTATAGCACAGTGGGTAGGGCGTTTGTCTTGCACGCAGCTGACCCCGGTTTGATTCCTCTGTCCCTCTCGGAGAGCAAGCTACTGAGAGTATCCCACCCACAAAAGAGCCTGGCAAGCTCCCCGTGGTATATTCGATATGCTAAAAACAGTAACAACAGGTCTCACAATGGAGACATTACTGGTAGCCGCTCAAGCAAATCAATGAACAATGGGAGGACAGTGCTACAGTGCTACATTTAGCATTTGAAAGATACCATTTTTATATAACAGATTCTAAGATCCAAGAAAGAAATGCCATGTATTTTGATATCAATGAATAGTATTTATACCTGAAATTGTTCTTGGCATTGAGTAAAAAAAGACATTTCAGGTACTGAAATTTGACTCTAATATTCACTTCACTCTTACCCCTAATGAGTGGGAGAATAGATTCTTAAATTTTGGTTCTGGTAGATGAGCAGCAGTTAACTTTTCCCTTTGGTGGATCTAGCAGGAAAGACTGTTCAGCAGAGATTCTTTCTGTAGCAACCACCAGGTGTCAGCAGAGGACTTGGAACTCTTAGCAAGATCTGCGCTCTTCTTTTTCTTTTCTTTTGTAAAATATATATATATATATCACTGTAGCACTGTCCTCCCACTGTTCATCGATTTGCTAGAGCAGGCACCAGTAACGTCTCACGACAAATTGTCAGAACTTGTTGTTACTGTTTTTGGCATATCAAATACATCACAGGTAGCTTGCCAGGCTTTGCCATGTGGGCGAGATACTCTCAGTAGCTTGCCAGGCTCTCTGAGAGGGGCGGAGGAATAAAACCTCGGTCGGCCGCATGCAAGGCAAACACCCTACCTGCTGTGCTATCGCTCCAGCCTGTGTGTGTGTGTGTGTGTGTGTGTGTGTGTGTGTGTGTGTGTGTGTGTATTACTTCTGCTTTTATTTAGATGCAGTGATTTACCATACTGTCAATAATAGCATTTCAGGTATACAGTGTTGATAACCACACTCAGCACTCAAGGGTCAGTGTCCCTCCACTACTAAGTCCACTCCCACCCCCATCCCCACCCCCCTCCTGGAACCTCCCTCCCCCCATAAACTCAGTTCTATTGGATGATTCTAAGGGTCTGTTGCCATTGGCCATTTATTTCCTTACTGTGTTTCTTTATATCCCACATTGAGAGACATCATTCCACATTTTTCCCTTTTCCTCTCACAAACTTTACTCATCATGATACTCCCCAGATCCATCCTCATGATAACAAATTGCATGATTTTATCTTTTTTTTATAATTGAGCAGTATTCAATTGTGTACTTGTACCATAGTTTCTTTATCTACTCATTTGTTCTTGGGAACTTGAGTTGTTTCCAGATCTTGGCTATTGTGAATAACACTGCAGCGAACACAGGAGTGCAAGTATCTTTTCATAACATCATTCTGGGGCCCCTGAGGTAGAGGCCAAGAAGTAGAATAACTAGAACTTGTGGAAAGTTCTTAATATTTTGAGAAGTTGTTAATATTTTGAAAAGTCTCCATACTGTTTTTCATAAAGGATGAACCAGATGACAGTCCCACCAGCAATGGATTAGAGTTCCTTTTCTCCAGAATCTGTACCAGCATTAGTTGTTTCTATTTTTTGACTCACACGAGTCTTGCTGGTACAGAATGATAACTCATTGTTATTTTGATTTGCATTTCCCTGGTGATAAATGATATAGAGCATTTTTTCATACAACTATTGGCCATCTGTGTATTTACTTTAAAGAAGCATCTGTTAAGCTCATCTCCCCCATTTTTTGTTGAAGTTCTTTGTTTTTTTTTTGTTGTTGCTGTGGTTCAGTTTTGTCAGTGAGTGGCTTATAAATCTTGCTTTCTTAGTTTCCTTAACTAAGACCATCCTCTTTGGAATGACTCAGAATTAATCAACCTTCTCTGTGCCCTCTTACCCAGAGTATTTCATTCACCTTTTCTTTATAGTAAGAGTACTAGTGCCTTGATTTTTTTTCATTTCAAGCTTCTGAAGGCTTTCATGGTGATGGTTCTACAGAGTAGAGAGATTATGAGGTTAAGATAAGGAATTGTTAGCACTGACTTGTATTTGTAGTCTTCACTGACTTGCTCACTCAAATAGGTAGAGTCCTCTTTCATGTGATATGGGGAAAGTTGCTATGCCTCTTCTTTCTCTTGAGCAGAGAAACATTCTGATGGTGGAACTTATTGGCTCCAAATAGCAGGAGCTTTCAGAATTTAAAGGAATGAGGCCTAGGGATCTTCACTAGCCTAGCTAGTTAGATGGAGACATTACGAAACATTTTATTGTTGACAAGGCAAACCATGGTGAGCTGAGTGTTGATTTGTAGCCTACTGATTTTCTCCAGTAGAAGGTGGGGCAAAACACAAGAGTTCCCTTAAGTGTTCTAACTTATTAGTAAGCTGAAGAGAGACCACCTGGGGAAATTGCTAGATCAAAACGTTTCGGCAGGTAAAACTACAAGGGGGTGTGGCCCAACGGGATGAACATTAAGGCATAGCTTGCACCTCCAGGTTTATTCCATGGCATCATAACCTGATTCATGCAAGATTCTAGAGTTTAGACTGTGGTGGGGATTTCCTTTGGACAGGATGGCAGAATTTGATGACACAAACTATAGCTAATTACCGGAACTCTTTTGCTGTTGTATGTTGAATAAAGTATTATCACCTAAAGGCAATATACCAAAAGGGATTTCGAAACATGTAGAATGTTTTCTTGGTAGATATTGTTGTGGTAATAATGAAAAAAAAAACCATCATGTCCCTTAACATATCATGCAGGATGTTCTAGAAAATACTGATGCACACTTTGGCATTGAAAAGGGTGAATGAGCATGCTGTGGTAGCTAAGAGAGGTAACAGTATTCACCAAACCTGTCACTGTCACTATCCTCCCGTTGTTCATCGATTTACTCGAGCGGGCCCAGTAACATCTCTATTGTGACACTTGTTACTCTGTTTGGCATATCGAATATGTCATGGGTAGCTTGTCAGGCTTTGCCATGCAGGTGAGATACTCTCGGTAGCTTGCCGGGCTCTCCGAGAGGGGTGGAAGAATCGAACCTGGGTCGGCCAGGTCGGCTGTGTGCAAGGCAAATGCCTTACCCACTGTGCTATTGCTCCAGCCCCAAACCTAAAAACCATTAAAAAATTGGGGGCAAGGGGGGAGCATCAGATGGAAGGTGACATATGGACAGAGGTGGAGTCATTGAAAGACCAGAGGTGACATATGGACAGTGGTGGAGAGTCTTTGGCACTCTGCTGGCAATGATGTAAATTAAATAAACATCAATACCATAAACTTAAATACTATGGTAACCCTAATACCTAGACTATATATTTAAATTTAATTAAAATAAAATGAAGAAAGGAAAGGATGACTGACTTCACTTCCAGGGTTGGATGTAACTCTGCATTGGGCAGCAGCTCTCAGACCAGCCCTAAGAAGGTGCTCAGACCTGTCTTGGGATAGACTTTTTAATTAGCTTTTTTAAAAAATATAAGGTCTTCATTGTTGACCCAGCTTCCAATTAGTACAGTAACTGCCTATGAGGTTGTGTAAGGGAGTATTTGTGCTTTACAAAATCAGTTTTCTTACTGTTTGATGGCTTGTCTCAATGGTTTCTAATATGTCCCACTGCCTCAGCGACTCCTGCAGGTAATTACATGGATTCTTGAATATTCAGATCCAGGCATGTAGCTCTGGGTTGATTCTCAGCTGCAGTAGCATGCTCTCATGTCTCCTTCTCTCCTTTGTAGATCACCGGGGTGATCCTGCTGGCTGTTGGAGTCTGGGGCAAACTTACTCTTGGCACCTACATCTCCCTTATCGCTGAGAACTCCACAAATGCTCCCTACGTGCTCATCGGAACTGGCACCACTATTGTCGTCTTTGGCCTGTTTGGGTGCTTTGCTACATGCCGTGGTAGCCCATGGATGCTGAAGCTGGTGAGTATGTCACCATAGGGCACTGTATTTTTTAGTTCCTTTCTGTGCGAGGAAAATTCAGAGAAATATAGTCTGTCCTTGAAGTCATGGACAAAATGTGACTCTAAGTTTAGTCTGGAGTCAGACCTAATCCACCCTGTATTCCCTTAGAGTGAAAAACAACCCCCAAACACGGGCTGGCACAAAAAATGGAGTCCTGATCCCTGAAGGTAGATAGTGATAAAGCAGTGGCTAATAGTTCCAGCATGCCATTTATATCCACAAGGAGAGATGCCCTACTACAGTTTTGAACACTGTCTTGGAAATCTTCTTAAGCATGTGATATGCAGCTTTGTTCTGCAAGGAGGCACCCCAAACATAAGCAACCTTTATTGCCAAGTTCGCTTGGGAGAAATACCTTCTGCCTCCTTCAACTTGGCCCTGCTTGGACACACAAACATGCTCTTCTCTAAACCTCCTCTCCCTAGCTGAATGCTCTTGGAATTGAGCTAAGCTAGGGCTTTCTTACTCAACAAAAGGCTGCTTAGTGCCAAACATTGGCTACCAGGGCCAGTACCTTACCTTTATTATAATAGACATGACAGTGATGTTTCCCAAAGGGAAAGAGAGGCAGCTAACAGACTGTTGCTGTGCTCCCTGTTTTTGTAGACTAGTTGCCCAGTTCTCTGCCTAACATTCACTTTCCTTACACTATTGGCAAAAGTTGACTTTAGCCAGGAGATATGACTGAGTGGTAGAGTATGCGCTTTATTTATTTGGGGCACTGAGTTCATTCCCCACCCCCTATCACCACCACCACACACACACACACACACCACACACACACACACCACACACACACACAGGATTCTTCCTTAGAAAATAGTAGTAAAGGCCTCTCCTTACAAGAAAAAAATTGCCTCAAATGTTTTATTTTATATGTTGTATTCCATAAAAAAAGGAAAGAATTTTGATTGGTGCTCTGTGGCCTGGCCTTGTATAGTCCTGGGTTGCAGTAATATTTAACATCTAGTGATGTGTGGGTGTGAGACCAATTCACTCTAAAGGAGCTGCCTTCCAAACTATAAGTGGCCAGTCTCTACTGGAAACCTCAGGAAAGCTTAAAGGGAGTGGATGTCGTGTCTTGGTTACCACTGATTTTTCTGGGTTGATGAAAAGACCATAATGATGCCATATTGAAGAACTTCTGCTACTATCACCACATGGTGACCTTGAGTCCACCTTCTAGAACCTCTTAAAATCAGGCCTTCTTTGGTCTCTTGCTGTGGTCCTGGACTCTAGATGGGTGTGTAAAACATCTGGGCAGCATTGGAAAAGCATTGCCAGAGTTCTACTTCCAAACAACTGAACCAGAATCGATGACAATGAAATCTTGGCAGCATATTTTCTAGAAGCTCGGCAGGGAATTTTTTAAACTGCCAGTGCTTAGAACCTTTTCTTTAGTATAAAGAGTAGCAAGAAGAGAATTGACTGCTAAGAACCTATCCTAATGAAGGTAGGAAAGCCAGTCTTGAGATTCCACTGGTTCTGACACCACCTGGCTTATGTCTTCAGTGGCAAGAATGTCACTTCTTTGGTCCTTTTATGGAAAAAAAAAAGCTCTGAAGTAAATCAACAAGGTTTCTACCCACCAAAAACAGTGGGCAAAAAGAGGGTCAACTTTCATGAAGCTCCCCCAAACCTTAATTTTCATTCACCCTAATTTCATTTTATTATTTATTTTTTATTAGCTAAACACCATGAGGTACAGTTGTAGACTTACAAACTTTCGTGCTTGGGTTTCAGTTATACAATGATCGAGTACCCATCCCTCCACCAGTGCCCATTCTCCACCACCAATGATCCTAGTAGTCCTCCCACCCCAACCCCCCCCCACCTCATCCCCCCACCTCACACTGCCTCTGTGGCAGGGCATTCCCTTTTGCTCACTCTTTCCTTTAGGGTGTTATAATTTGCAATAGAGGTTTTGAGTGGCCATCGTGTTCGGTCTATAGTCTACTTTCAGCATGCATCTCACATTCCAAGCGATTCTTCCCAACATCCTTTACTTGGTGTTCCCTTCTCTATCTCAGCTGCATTTTCCCCCAGCATGTGAGGCCAGCTTCCAAGCTGTGGAGCAGACCTCCTGGTACTTATCTCAATTATTCTTGGAAATGTTCTTTTCCAAGAATAAATTCTTGGGTGTTCGACTCCCATTCTGTTACTTTATATTCCCCAGATGAGTGCAGTCTTTCTATGTCTGTCCCTCTCTTTCTGATTCATTTCACTTAGCATGGTACTTTCCATATAGAACCACTTGTATGTAAATTTCATGACTTTATTTTTTCTAACAGCTGAATAGTATTCCATTGTGTAGATGTACCAAGGTTTCTTTAACCAGTCATCTATTCTCGGGCACTCGGGTTTTTTTTTTCCAAATTTTGGCTATTGTGAACAGTCCAGAAATGAACATAGAAGTGTAGATGTCATTTCGACTGTACTTTTTTGCCTCTCTGGGATATATTCCCAGGAGTGATATTGCTGGGTCAAATGGGAGCTCAATTTCTAATTTTTTTTTAGAATCGTCCATACTGTTTTCCAAAAGGGCTGAACCAGTCGGCATTCCCGCCAGCAGTGAAGGAGGATTCTTTTCTCACCACATCTGTGCCAACACCAATTGCTTTTGTTCTTTTGTTTGTGGGCCAAACTCTGTGGTGTGAGATGATATCTCATTGTTGTTTTGATCTGCATCTCCCTGATGATTAGTGATTTAGAGTACTTTCTCATGTGCCTTTTTGCCATTCAGATTTCTTCTTTGAGAAAGTTTTTCATTTCGCTACCCCATTTTTTGATGGGGTTGGATGTTTTCTTGTGGAGTTCAACCAGTACTTTGTATATCCTTAATATCAACCCCTTGTTGGATGGGTATTGGGTGAATATCCTTTCCCATTCTGTTGACTGTCTTTGTATTTTGGTCACTGTTTCTTTTGAGGTGCAGAAACTTCTTAGTTTAAGATAGTCCCATTTGTCTATGTCTGTTTTCTCTTGCTTGGCCGTTTATTTTATTTTTTAAATGTATTCATTGAATCACCATGAGAACAGTTACAAAGCTTTCAGGTTTAAGTCTCGGTCATACAGTGATCCCCATCCCTTCACCAGTGCATATTTTTCACCACCAAGAACCCCAATATACCTCCCCATGCCACTCTCCCTCCCCTCCCCCCCCGCCTGTGAGGCAGATGATTTCCACTAAAGTCTCCACTTTGATTATATTCATTATTTCGACAAAAGATACACCATTATTATTTGGAATTTTCCGTCAACAATCAGACCTGCTGAAAAGGCATTGTGAAATCATTTGTTTTCTATTGCTGGTTATGAGGAGCATATGACGTGTTGTGACCGCGTGACTTTGGATTTCTGATACTTTACTAACTAAGTCTGGAGGGATTTCTGCTAAAAGCCGCATAGTTCTGAGATTGGTTTGTGTTCCTCAGTGTCCATAGTCGTGCCGGAGAGCTGCTCATGGGGGGAGCAACTTGTGGTCTCGGTGGTGCAGGAAGGACGTGCCGGTTCCGTCCCCATCCCATGAGACCACAGTTGCCCTGTCACCACCTGGCTGTCCAATAGTGTCTGATGCGGCGGCCACTTTGCCACGGGGCGGGGGGAGATGGAAGAGACAGACACCCTTTCCCTCCTAGGAGGGGCACACCACTATAGTTTAATGCATAGTCCATTCACATTTCTGCCAAAAGTTTGAACCCTATTTTTAGTCCAAACTCTAACCCTCCCCACAGCAGCAAAACTGTGGCTGTGGGCTTAAACAATGGGATAGTTATCTCTGGTGGTTTCCAGCACACTGCCCTTTTATCCTCCTAACATGTGCATCATTTCTCCTCCTAATATTTGCGGGAGTAAAGAAGCTTTTTACTCTTTATTTTGTTTTGGCCTTTTCAAAACTATTATCTAGTGCTTTTCCCTGCAAAATGCTATACTAGGTGCTGATTATGTTTATTTGTTCCTCACGACCACTGCAGGTGCTGGTTGTATTTCGCTGTTACAGGATAATGACATGGAGAGGCTTATTGACCTGCCCAAGTTCATACAGCTAGTGTGTAGAGAGCTGGGATTGCAACCTAGGCATGTCCTTCCAAAGCTGGAAGTATTTCTGCAGTGGTACTTTATTTGGAAAACAACTTGAACTCTACCCACTTTTATAGAAAACAAGCTCTGCCCAATCGGCTCTTGGTCAAGTCCTTCTGAAGAAGTGACTGTTCTGTGTGTGACCATTCCAGGAACTAGGGAACTTACCCAGACAGTAATCTGTTGTTCTGACCTATGAGAGGGAGTAGAAATCACTTGATGAACTACTGATCTCCAATGTTTAAAGTCCTCATGTAGCCTCATTAATTGCATAACAATGGAAAATAACTTTCTACCTTATCGAGGCCCAATGTGGCTGCCTTTTTCCTAAGACTGGAACTCAAATTGAGGAAGACTTTTGACCACAGAATCAAATGTCCTTTCACCCACTTGCCTTCTGATTGCTGTTTCCATGGGACTTTTGATAGAATCTAGACCTGGCATGTGATTCTGCCTAGAGTAATTTGCTTCTAAACGTATTTTTTACCAAGATGACACAGAGAGGAGAACTGTACATTCTGCTCATAGCTCTGTGTTTGGTTTCTTAGTGACTAATCCTTGTCTGTGTGTGTGTTAGACTTGCATTAATATTTCAATTGAAAATGGCACTTAAAGCCAGTATTTCCTCCTTTTAATATATGTGCCATGAGCTGAGAAAAATAATTTATTATCCCGTGCACATATGTATCCTTTATAAGACATGTGTACACTTTACAAGTTAGTAATATCTACATGTGCAGTAGATCCAAATTCACAGCATCATCTAAGACCATTCCAAACATTCAGGACTGTTGTATTTCATCTTGCGATGAGAAGAAGCAGATTGTAAGACATATGCCTTGTAGGAAAGGAATAAATTCACTTTCCTTTTGTCTCCTTTTCAAAGTCACCAAAAAAGGAGACCCTTAATGTCTCGTAAGTACCATGTAATATCTCTGAACTAAGGTATGCATGTGCAGACACACACACAGCATTAACTTGAAAGTATAGGAAGCAGGAATGAGTAAGGCACACTAAGCATTTAGGCACTTGCAAACTTTGTTACTCAGTGGCATATCAGTTGTCTATTTGTTGGTGGCTATCAATTCCATGTAGCATGCAGCACAAGTAAGATCAGCTGCCTGCAGGCCAATGCTGGCAGCCACCTCTATGCCTGACCTTCACACTAAAAAAGAAGAATAGCTATGCATGTACAGATTCTAGTCTTTCCAGCAGAATAAAGAAGGGTATGTTTCCAAAGGAAGATGTATTGAAGCCATTGCATGTGAGAAGTCCTTAAGGAGACCAAAGGGGAGTTGACTGAATGAGGAGTAAGAGCAGGTTCCCACCACGGTTATGTCCACACACACATAGGACCGATTGGCTGCATCTTGCATCTCCTGAAGACAGATTATACACTGGAGAGTGGAGGCTTTAAGGGGATAGACTGTGGCCAGGGGAAAGGAAGAAGTCTTTCCAATTATTGAACCCCTTTGAAAATAGAACGAGCTTCGAGGGATGGGGGGTTGGAGGGCATGTCCTTACAGATGTCAGATGACCACCCTGAGTAAAGTGGTATGAAGGACTGTGTCCTGGGTCTTCCCAGGTCATCTAGGTAAGGGATCCTTTTGCTAAAAATAGCAGATACCTAATTTGGGAAAAAGACCTGCCCAGTTTCTCCTAGTTGAATAGGACTGATCGGTAGAATGTGTGTCTCTCCATGAGGATTCTGAGGACTCCACCTGAAACAGATGCATTGCTGAGCTGAAGCTTATAGATAAATCTGGAGGTATATTTTGAAGTTTTCCTAGACTCTAGGGATTATGAAGGTGTGTTTCATTCCCTCTGACAAAAGGTTACCTACCCAAAGACATGCTGTTCTCAACCCTGACTTGTCTAACTTTGTTCTTGTCCCTTTGGTTTTCAGTATGCCATGTTTCTGTCCTTGGTGTTCCTGGCTGAGCTTGTGGCTGGCATTTCCGGGTTTGTGTTTCGCCATGAGGTGAGTACACACCAAGTAGAGAACGCAAAAGGTCTTAGAGAGGTCAATTTCAGAAAAGCTCTAAAATGTGTAAAGGGAGCATATGCCAACTGGCCACTGCAGTGGTGTTGCTGTTTTCCGAAGGTCATGTACTGAAAAGCTTAAAAGCCAATAAAACCAAATTACTGGAATTAAGCTCAACTCAAAACCTAACTTGTGGATCCTCAATCTCTTTCCTTATTGAGCCACTGCATACAAGGATTTGTTGGGGAACTACTTTGCCCATAGTTGCTTCATGAAAAATTGTTTGGATTTTTAAAACTGCAAAGGCAAACCAAAGTAATTGTAGGACAAGGACAGCATGCTAGATTTTCTCCAAAGTAAAGCTGCCCTCTCTCTTCCTGGAGCCTCTCCATCCCACTTCTCAACACTCTCGCCCACCCCTGCCAACCACATCTCCTTTCTGGCCACCTGGGATTAAAATCAGTCCTTCCAGCATGGTTTGGGTGGTGCTGAGGGAAATAAAGGAGAGAGTCATCAACAGACACCCCAACTGTTACTTCATTTTTTTAAAAAAGAATATTTTATCACTGTGAGGTATACAGTTACATAGTTGTTTGTGATTGGGTCTCAGTCAATGTTCCAACAACCATCCCTTACCAATGTACCAGTGTCCATTTCCCACCACCAGTGTCCTCACTTTCCCTCCCTCCCACTCACCCAGCCTCACCCCAGCCTGTTTCTATGGCACACACTTTCATTCTCTCTCTCCCTCCCCCTCATCTTCCCTCCCCCCCCTTTCTCTTTCCCTGTCCCTTTTGGCATTATGGTTTACACTACAGTTACTGAAAGGTTATTATGTTTGTCCATTTACCTACTTTCAGCACCCAGTTCTTGTCCAGAATGATCATTTCCAACTATCCTTGTTGTAGTGGTCCCCTCTCTAGCCTAACTGCCTGACTGCCCTCCCCACCACCACTTGTGGCAAACTTTCAACCGTGCACCAGTCCTCCTGTCCCTTGTTTCTACTAACCTTGATATATTAGTCTCATATTGGTTTTTTTTTAATATCCCACAAATGAGTACAATCATTCTATGTCTGTCCTCTCTCTGACTCATTTCACTCAGCATGATACTCTCCAGGTTCATCCATTTATACATGAATTTCATGACTTCATTTCTCCTGGTGGCTGCATAGTATTCCATTGTGCAGATATACCATAGTTTCTTTATCCAGTCATCTTTTCTCTCTGTTCTTGGGCACTCCAACAGTTCTTCATTTTTAATGACCACGGCAAGTTTTAGGTATTGAAACCCAGGTGGGGTGGTTGCATTTTGAATTTTGTTCTCTGATCAGAACTGCTAGTTTTGAAGACACTGTCACTATCATGTGGCTTTTGTGGCTGTCCTGTGAACTGTCACTGTAGCTGCTCTGTTTAGATGGTGGTAGATGTTAATGCAGAGACCAGCCATTGTCATGCTTCCGGAAGCTGCTGTGACAGTCACTTTTCAGCTGTATTTCTTGATGAAAGGTTCTTAAAATCAACATTCTCCAATAAAATTCTAATTCAATTCAATTTCTTCCCCAACACAATTATTGTATTCTGAAAAGAGGAACAGAGCCAAAGCTAGACACACGTGTGTTACAAAGGAAAAGAATAGCAAGGGATAGGTGGAAAATGTTGTAAAGTTGAGTGTTAGGATGATTCTTGCAGTTGTTACTATGGCTTCATCTGTCCCAGGCCCTATGTTTGTGCTTGGCTAAGTAAGCCCAATTCCCAGAAAACTTGGTGCTCCCTACTGCTCTGAGTTTTCCCTTTTACTGAGAGTTTATTGATGATGCTAAGGATGAGTTCTAGACCGTATCTGCAATACTTCTGGAATTCATCTCCCCTAAGTTTTAGCTGAGATGAAAGGTCATAGACTCAGTAGCTCAAGGTGGGGCGGGGGGGGGGAGGGGTCCCAATACCTTTTACCAGGAGCAGCCTAGCTTGCTTCTGCTATAACCCTTGTTTATTCACCTTCCAATGTATCTGACTTCATGTTGGGGATTTCTCATAATGACTTCTGATAGATCCTCATCTACTTCATCTATTTTCCTCAAACACTTGGGCGAGCAGTGGGTAGGATGGCAATGCCATTCTTTGAGCGTCACTGTTATCTTTATACTTAATGAAATGGCCAACTACATATGAAGACAGTAGGCAGACATGGTATCATTCATTCTGAGAGACAGAATGCAAAAAGAAAGTGCAGCTCCATGGCAGAGATGTAAGGGTCCTTGTTTCTCTAATGAGTATCCCCACAGTAGTCCATGGTCTGTTCTGTTACCTTCCTCCCTCCTTGGTGACAACACAGGTGCAGTTTAATAAGGAGATACAATTGCATGTAGTGACCACTTTGGCTTAGAGAGTTTCTGTAACTAGTGTCTCTTTATTGTAACCATCCTGTTGACATAGAATTAGGTCTCTCAGCAAGGAGCATGCCAGATTAGGAGAATCACCTTAGTTAGCTCTAAGCTTTCCACCAAGTAATTATTGTTCTGTTGTATCCTCGAAGTCCAGAGGGATTTCACTAATCAAAGAACAGCTTTACCATAAGCAGAATTACCTGATAGTACACCAGACACTCCCCCCACTTCAGCAGATTTCTAGGGATACAGAGCCTGAAATTTCACCCAAGGTCAAGTATATTCACAGAGGAGAAAGTGCCTTGTTCACTGTTATTAGGAAGAAAAGTTCATAACTTTTAGCCTCTTTTTGGAGTTCTTAATAAATACAAATAAGGGACATTATTTTCACCTCACTCCTATTAGTTGGAATAGATCTGTTTCCGACCAAGGCATTTAGCCCTCCCATGCACCAACTATATCCTTCTGAGTAAGGACATATAAAATGATGAAGAAGGTCATGAATCATTTCCAAAAAATTACCAAGAAAACCCTGAAAAGTCTGAACATTGGCAGCTTACCATCAGCTCTACCCTTTCCAAAATGGATTGCTTAAGTGGGTTTTTAACAAGATAGTGCCCTCTGAATTGGGGAGGCAGGGAGAAGGCAAATGTTTTTTTAATTCCTGATCTACTAACTCCTTGACAAAGTTTTAGAGCTCTTTCATTTCAGAGGCCCAGACCCTCCTTCTCTTGCCTGCACTGATAATGGAGAAGAGGCTATTTGGAGGTAGAAGTTATTATGAATCTGGGATTTGGGCTACAATGGGATGTAATCCCATTTCTCCTTGTTTCCTGTAGATCAAGGACACCTTCCTGCGGACCTACACCGATGCCATGCAGAATTACAATGGAAATGACGAGAGGAGCCGGGCTGTGGATCATGTGCAGCGCAGCGTAAGTTCTACGGAAAGAGTTGGAGGAACTCCATAAACCTACAGAGTCTGGCCTTAGAACTGCGGGCTGCCTGTGAGGCTGCGATACTAGCACTTTGATTCTGTTTCCCATAACCCTGATCTTAGCCCAGTTCCTTTTTTAAAAGTTGACATCCAGTACTTGTCCCAGCACCAGTGTCTCAGCAGTCAGTGGCAAGAAGTACCACTGACTGGGGTATGTCATTTGTCAGTAAGGAGAGTAAGTAAGCATCCCAAGGAATGCCTGTTTGCCTTTCAAATCTGGACTCTTGCACAGGAGGTGAGCGGTGAATATATGACAACCTCACTGAGAGGTGATTTCCAACTCTAGCATCCAGAGTGCCAGTCCAAAGACTAGCATCCCAGTAGTGGTGTCTTTAGGTTGGAGGAAGAGAGCTCAGCTGAGCTATACTCATTGGCTTGTGCAGTGCTAGCTGGAGGAAATGGAGTGTCTGCATTGTGTGTTTATTGCCTAAGATGCCTAGAGTTTTTCAGAGTATAAGAGGACAATGAAAATCTCCTTCCTAGAAGGGCTCTAAGTGGCAGGTACTGGAGCTCAACCCTGACTACTCATCAAAGTGACTTGGGTGGGTGTTTTTTTTTAACCTTAAAAGTTATATTTGGGGGGAATAATCGATTTTGATAACATTTCAGGCTTTTATAGAAAAGTTTCAACAGATCTGAGCACAGAGCCAGGAGTATGTCCTGAGCACAGCCAGGAGTGATACTAGAGCACAGAGCCAGAAATAAGTTCTTACCACCCTCGTGGGTGACCCCCAAACCAAAATAAAACAAAAATGAAAAAGTCAAAACAGTATGTAGTCAAGGATTTCTCTCAGTTTGAATGGGATTCTTAATGAATATAATTGTTAGTGAAGCTTAAGCTCTTCTTTATTCACCAATGCTATATGTATTCTTATGGAACTGGCTTGTACTTCCCTTTAAAGGTTGAGTGAGGACTCTATGTCTTTGATTTGCCAAACTTTTGTTCATTTGTTTCCTTTCCTTGTGAACAGCTGAGCTGCTGTGGTGTGCAGAACTACACCAACTGGAGCACCAGCCCCTACTTCCTGGAGCATGGAATCCCCCCAAGTTGCTGCATGAATGATACTGATTGTAATCCTCAGGATCTTCACAATCTGACTGTGGCCGCCACCAAGGTTAACCAGAAGGTACTGACTTCCAGACCTGAGGGGATCCTCGTGAATGTTGGGGAGGGGACTTTTTTGTTTGTTTCTGTGAAGTTGCCAAGTAGGTTGGAAATGATAGTATAGGAGGTACTCAAGGATTACCCTTTGTGGGGTTCTGTTGCCTGATAAAGGTATCCACCTCTGGATACCTTTCCCAGAGGTGACTCAACTCAATTTCACATCTTCTAACCTTCCAGCACATTTAGGAAGGTTCAGCAAGTGGCTCCTGTTAACATTGATGCCGAGGTCAGGCGGCACTTGCTGGCTCTCTCATTCTGGGTGTGTGTCTGCTGCTTAACATACCTTCTAAACATGAAATTATTCACAGCTAGGTGCCAGTCTTTAACAGGAAGTGGGGGTAGAGTTGACAGGCAACATCTGTTTTTGCTAAGAGGGTAGCCTTTATTTTAGGACATTATTGTTATAGGAAAGGAAATCAGCAATTCAACTCACTGGCAACACCCTGGCACCCAAAGAAATTAGAGAGAAAAGAATGGGCTCAAAGAAATTTGAAAGTACATCGTTGAAACTAGGGAAGTGAAAGTTCAGTAGAGAAAAGGAATTTCAATTTTATATTTCACTTTGCCTTCATAGTATTCATCATATTCTCTACAATCTATTTTCTTAAATATTTAGAAAAGCATCAGATAGAAAACATTTTTTGCTAAAACTAAAAGGAAGACAATCATACTATTTATTGAGTGTGCTTGTGGTTTTGCAGCCATTGGTTTTTTGACGAATATTTTGATGAAACTTAAATTCTGTTCTTCTAAGGTTTTCAAGTTTTGATATTATCTTGACTATGCACTGAATAATTCATACATATAGAGGCATCCTCTCAAGATGAGAATGTTTTAAAGGTGGTTTCTGTGTTTGACACGTTTAATGTTATTTGTAGCCTAAATACTACAAGGCATTGTTGCTTTCCTAGAAGCTCTTGGTGTCATTCTGAACTTATATTTTGCTATTAGGGTGGTGGGATATGATTGTAAATACCAAGAGCTTCTTGCCCTAGCTAAGAGGATATATGTTCCTGGAATTGTTGTATGAACTTCAAATTTGAGGTCTCCTCTCCCTGTCATTAGTAAGGTCACTTCCAGTTTCCTCTTAATCATCTCTACTAGACACCCACATGTCATTACATTTCCACTTTTGAAGTGTCAAGCATACCCAACTTCTGGTGCATGCTCTCATTTGTAAAAACAAGTGATTTATGGCAATCATATATTGGCATAACAGTCTCAGGAGGTAAGTTATAGAAGCAACAACCTTCTGACAAAGTTGTATTGTTTTAACACCCATACTTTCCCTTCTTTTGTGAAAGTTGAGAATATAGAAGTCCGCAGGTTTGGAATCAGAGTAGAGTTTAGATTCTAGTTCTGTAATCTCAATCAAGTTCTATAATTTTCTGTCATGTTTTCTCACCTGTTAAACAGCTAATAAAAGTCCTGCCAATAGGACTTTGATTTATGGGAGGATTAAATGAGATAAAAAAAATAAAGTATACTGTCTGGTACATAGTTAATATGTGATAAGTATTGGGAAGTTCTTCTTTCTCTGTACCATAGAGTGTCTTTGATTGAACATTATATAGCAGGTCCTTGTAGGGAGGATCTTTGTTAGTATAGAGAAACAAGTTTATAGCCATATCCTAGAGCATTTTTATAACCACAGGGATTGCCAGAAAGAAAGATAAGGTAGCCTTTTATTGTTTTGTTGATAATCTACTAAGTGACCTCCTGCCCCAGCTCTACCCACAATTATACTTCATATGTTCCTGAGCATGTCAAATACCTGAAGAGGGTGATTAGCTTCTTTCCCACTGGCCTTATCTTCTCCATCCTGGCTCCCTCAAAGAAGAAAATGAATGAAAACTGATTTTTTGTATTAAGTATTATTAACTCTGCAGGTTTAACCTTTGAGACAGACTGTTTCCTAAGTCTGCATCTCAGATCCCTCATCAATAAAATAAAGCAAATGGAAGTGGGCTGAAGATAGTAATAGTACTTGTTCATAATGGTTAGCAGCCATCCATATGACTTCTTCCTCAGAAGGCATGACAACGGTCATAATGCAGGTACATGGAATTCTGATGTGTAGAATAAATGTTTTGGTGTTTTGAATGCTATATTCATATAGAATGAAAAGCTAACTCTTGGCCCCTTACCAGGTAGCCTGGAAAACCAAAACCATGTACAATTAACTGGGAGATGGAAGGCCATGAGCCTAGACAAACGCAATATTGGCAGTTTCATTTAGGAGACAGATTTTATTTTTGTTCTGCTTGTATCATGATGACCTATCTATAGGTTCAGATGGCTAACAACACTGACTGAGCCCCCAGCTCCTTAGGAATTTATTAATGTTTTCTAAGCAAAGACAAGAGTTATTTTGATTTAAAAGCTACTGAGATACCTCTTCAGAGAACCATGTGAGACTAGCCATCTATTCCCAGTGTTTGAAAGTTTACCACTCACAGTGTTTTTTTTCCAGTGGTGACAGTGCTATTTAGATATGCTGGGAAAGTGAGCAAATTATCTGTTTCATTGACGGGTATTTTCTTGGACACTTATCAGGTCTCTGTACGTAGATCTCAGACCTAACAATCAGATTTAGTTTTAGAAAATTAAGAGAGATTGTGGACAAATAAAGTCAGTTCTTAGTGGAGAACTTAAAATAGAATATAAATATGACCTGTGTTTTTAGTAGTATAAAAAATGTCCTGGAAGACAACAGAGATATGCTGAGACCTAGAAAATGGGTTTGTGGGATTATATAGTGACAGAAAAGTACAAAAATGGGAAGCTTTTATATAAACATTGGTGTTGGAGTATCTCAACTACAACATCGAGGCTAAATCACTTTTATTTGGAAAGTGTTAGGATATCTACCTGTCTTCTCATTTTTCCCTAATCCAAACTTTTCTCCCAGTAAAATATAAAGCAGTAGGATATGTGCTATTCCAAGTGAAAAATGAAATCAGCAAGCAAACTTCTACTACAGAGAATCAAATTCTAGTACTTTCCAGAGCAGTGATATATTTCCTTTCCCACTCCTGTTCTGTTTTCAGATTTTCTCCAGGTAACAATGTACTATAGTCTATCCACAGCATTATAAACAGGTGTACAAAAGCTGCTACTAAGATAGTATATCCTTTTTTTCTACTAAAAAATGTGAATGCATAGGATATGGCTTATTGAGAACATGTACAGCACTGATAGAATTTTCACAAAATTTGATATATGTTAAATTGTGATTTTAAAAAATAGTTGTTCTTCATGTATTCTCTGTAAAAATGCTCTTATGCTCTTTGACAAAATCAATGCTATTTTTTACAGACTTTATGAATTAAAGTTGAAGTTATTTTTAGAAAACTGGAGGGGAATTATGGCCTCCATGCAAGTTTTAGTATATTAAATTTGGCTGATTTGGCTCAGTTCCAAATAAATTTACATCTAAACACACACAGAGGCTATAAACAGGAATCAACATTTGCTGTTACAGTTTGGGTGTTTCCTACCTGAACTAGGTTGATGGAATCTTAATCTAAAATAAAACAAAAATTTGTACTTTAAATTTATGTAATCCACTTTATCCAGTTGTCAGTTTTAAACATTAAAACTGGTAAAAATGATGTTTTAATCGTAGCATTTGGAAATTTCATAGTATTCTAAAGGGAAATTAATTTCCTTTTAAATCTCATAGTGTTTTAAAGGGGAGTTCATTTCCTTTTATGGATTAAGTTAAGAGGTTATATTCCACTTGTCTAAAGCCCGTCAGATTGACACCTTGGACCCCTGTGCATCAGGGGTCAATCATAGAAAATGAGACAGACAAACAGATGAAACAAACATACACATGGACTGTCCAAGCTATAGATCACCTGGGCCGCCCTCAGTAGTCTCACCCATTTATTCAGTACAGTATTTCATCTCCACCACTTCTTCTATTAACAGGTCAGCCATTGTTGACAGGCATTAAGGATAACTGGTGTACCAAAGTTTCTTTAACCAGTCATCTGTTCTCAGGTTTTTTCCAGATTTTGGCTATTGTGAACAGTACAGCAATGAACATAGAAGTACTTTTTTGTACTTTTTTTGCCTTTTTTTTAACTTTTTGTACTTTTTTTCCTCATGTGCCTTTTTGCTATTCAATTTCTTCTTTGAGAAAGTTTTTGTTCATTTCATCGCCCATTTTTTTGATGGGGTTGGATGTTTTCTTCTTGTGGAGTTCAACCATTACTTTGTATATCCTTGATATCAACCGCTTGTCGGATGGGTATTGGGTGAATATCCTTTCCCATTCTGTAGGCTGTCTTTGTATTTTGGTCACTGTTCTTTTGAGGTGCAGAAGCTTATAAACCTGTTAGAAAAGATGAAGTCATGAAATTTACATACAAGTGGTACTATATGGAAAGTATCATGCTAAGTGAAATGAGTCAGAAAGAGAGGGACAGACATAGAAAGATTGCATTCATCTAGGGACCACAAAGTAACAAAATAGGAGACTAATACCCAAGAATAGCCGAGATAAGTACCAGGAGGTTCACTCCATGGCTTGGAGGCAAGCTGCACATGCTAGGGGAAAAGGCAGCTCAGATAGATAAAGGAGCACCAAGTAAAGGGTGTTGGGAGGATCCTCCCAGGATGGGAGATGCATGCTGAAAGTAGACTATAGACCAAACATGATTGCCACTCAATGCCTCTTTTGCAAACCACAGCACCCAAAAGGAGAGAGAGAACCAAAGGGAATGCCCTGCCACAGAGGCAGGGTGGGATGGGGGGGTGGGAGGGATACTGGGTGGTGGAGAATGGGCACTGGTGGAAGTGTGGATACTTGATCATTGTATAACTGAAACCCAAGCACAAAAATTTGTAAAGTCAACAACTGTACCTCATGGTGTTTCACTAATAAAAATTTTTTTAAAAAAGGACAACTAGTAAGCACATCAACATTCAGTAGGTACATGAAGATCAGAAGCTGGCATATTTTGCATAGCTATCAGAAGATACCTTTAAAATATAAAGTCCTGACAATTTCTTACTCTATTTTGTCCAAGTAATCTGTATATAACAGTCATATTCTGTACTTGGCCTGGTGCTTTTTTGCAGCCAGCAAATATTTATAATCTACTCTATTCTTTCCTGCTATATTATTCTTTCCTGGATATAATTCTGCAAATCCTTTACACTCTAAGACCTAAATTATTTTACCTAGGGAAACCTATCCTTGTGTTTTTTTATTGTTGGTGATACCAATTCCCACACCATTAATGTGCAGAAAAGGGAAATACCTTAGCCAAGCTCACATAGTAAATTTGTAGCAAAGATGACTTTATTTACTAGATAATTCCAATTAAAAATCTAATGGTTTTCAGGGCCAGAAAGATGGTAGAGTGAGCAGGGTGCTTAGCTTGGACACAATAGACCTGGCTTCCACCCCGTGCACCCTATATGGTCCTCTAAGCCTGCCAAGCAAGCAGTATAATCCCTGAGCACTGCTGAGTGTGACCCCCAAACAAAAAAAAAAAAACTAAATGGTTTCCATAGGAAGAATTCTAAAACTTTACAGGCATTCAAACACCTTCCCCAAAAAGATGATTTTACTTTCTCCGAGATATAACCCTACTACTGAACCATTTGTGAATGAAAGCATCTATTTGGGAAGTGCTTTAAAATAATGCAGTGAAAAGAGAGTTGGGGTAATTGAAATAAAATGAGATTTGTCATAGATGAATTTTGATGTTAGACCAGTGATACCACCCTAGACTTGGGGCATTAAACCAATCCAGGGGTAGTAGTAACTTCAGGGGCAATTGAAGGGGAGGTCCCTTACTGACTTTTTTCCCAGAAAGGGAATGGTAGTCTAAAGAAATCTGGGTACATTCGTGTTAAAGGAAGTGCCACTTTGAGATGCCTTCTACTATTCATATGATTTGAAAGGTTTATATATTTTTTTAAAGAATGCTAGCAAATTCCTGTGACTTGGGTAATATTTACAGGAGTTTATGTGAGATTGTGATGAATTAAAACAACTCAGTCTGCCCTAGGTAAAACATGTCTCTCAGACCGTCTCTTACTTTTACTAGGGTTGCTATGATCTGGTGACCAGTTTCATGGAGACTAACATGGGAATCATCGCTGGAGTGGCTTTTGGAATTGCATTCTCCCAGGTAACCTATGTAATTGTGTAGTCTACTCCAGTCTTTCTCCTGATCTCATTTTCCTCCCTAGTTTCCAGATTTTCCACCTGCCTCCCTGTGCATTGGGGAAGGCTGATAGATGGGGTCAGAGCGCCTTGCTCATTAGTCCTCAGGTCATCTGTTTATTGATTTTCCTTTTTCAACTTAAATGAAGTTTTGCCATCAAGGGAATATCGGTTACAGTTCAACTAATGACTAGCTCCAGAAAAACAACTTGCTTCTTCTGTAGGTCAAATGGAGGTTAACTGAACAAAGTGCTGGCTTAATTGGAGCATAAACAACTCCAAACATTAAATGGCCGATCTGGATTTGGGGGAGGCCCTTTGGATTGACCTGTTCACTTTTTTGTTAGTTTCTGTGGATTTTGTCAGAGATTTCTCCCTTTAAAGAAAGTCTAAATTTAATAACTTTTATCCTTGTGATCTTTATTTTAATCTCTACACTTGACTAGTCTTAAAAGAAGGCAGCCGATATTTTGTTTATTAAAATGCCTATCTCTTTATCTCTACCCAGCCTTTAAAAACAATGGGAGAAGTAATTATGCAAATTGAGTGAGCAGCACACTTCTTAGAGTGAAACATAATCAGCTTAATCTGAAATTTTGCCAATTCTTACCAAGCAGTATACAGTACCTTACACTTTTGATCTCCTGGTCAGTTATATACCATGGTTATAATAATGGTATGGGCAGAACTGGCATGTATGCTTAACAACCCCCACAATTTATGCTTAACCCAGAAGTTTTTTAGACTGGCAGATCATTTTCCAACAAAACCCAATTAATATTATCTCAGTAACATATCCGTGACTCTAAGTTACCTTGCCTGGATTCTGTTTTGGCTCTCTTGAACTGTAATTACTTTTCCTCTTTCCTCTGTACCTCTTTCTTTCCGGCAGAGCAATACAGATGCACTTTAATGCTATTCAAGTTTATCTCATCCCTGGAGCTTTTGAAATTTAAATATGACATATAAAGAGAAGTGCGTAAATTATAAGTTTCCAGCCTAACAAATTATCACAAAATGCATATACCTGTGTAGCCATCACTTAGATCAACATAGGCCAACTTATTTGCAAATAGTTGAAAATAAGTTGAATTTTTTTTTCTTCCCAAGCAGATACAGGAAACTGTGACTTTTCATCTCACAAGAGCTTGTGAACTCAGTCAACATGTGTCTGTACTTTTGTGGCAGTTTTAATATTCTTTTACTATGCTTTTTTTTTTACAGCTCATAAACTGAATTAAACCCTCAACACGCCAACACACAGTCAAACCAGAGCGGTGTCACAAACAGTGTCAATTTACTCAGTCTCCAGAGGCATTTCAAATGCAGTTGCTGCCCTGAACTTTATTTTGGTTGTTATAATAATTAAGCAATATCACTGCAGTGACATATCTGTAATGGTCAGAGGACATTTAGAGGATCCTGGACCTCAGGTCTGATGCAGAATGTATGGGGTACACTTGACAGATTGTACGTAGAGTTAACTTTACATGCGTATGTACAGCATCAGGTGAAAATGCTCACTGATGGGCCAGACTTGTGGTCGGCATTTGAGGAGGGCTGTCCTTTGAAGGAAGGAATATTTCAGTTTCCTTGAATGCCTATCCAAGAACCACAAAGAAACATGATGCCAAGCCTCACAGAGCCTGGACTTGCATGGATGAAACATCTTGTCATCTAAGAATATACCCATGTGGCCTTGAGGGACTGGGAGAACTGTCCTGTTTTCATCAGTAAGGTGAACCAAATCAGAAAGCATCTGATTGATACCTCTCCTCTCTCACATGTCCTTAGGAAGGGTTTCATGAATATTTGACTCAATGAACATTAATCTCTCTTGCTGCCTTAAAGAAATCCCTGACTGGGATTAGTTGAGTTTGCATTGTGGCCCTCCAGAGCTGTGAGAAAGGAGGTTGAATCATTTCCTACCCACATAGTAACTCTCTTTAGAGGTTTTAGCTATCATAAATATTGTTGGTACAATAAGAAAACAAAACACAAAGCCTGGTGGTATCAGTGTGATGCCATTGCTGGTACCATTAACCCACATAAATAGATGGGTGCAACAGGGTCAAGACTTGAGACCTCTCATGCTCAGCTGGGAAAAGGGGGATGGGTGGCCATGGTGGGCTTTCACTAGTCAGATGCTCTAGGTTCGCGACTGATCATCCCTGGACCTGAGCCAGGACACAGAAATTTCCTGCAAGTCTGCAAAAAAGTTATTGTAGCTGCTACACTGTCTAGGTATACTGTGTGTTTAGCGGCAATAACTTTTTCACGGACCGGCAGCGAGCGCAGCTTTAAATGGTGGCGGAGCTTCAGGGGCCTTGGAAGGTGGGGTTCACTTCTAGATGTCATTGGATTCAGGACCTCCTTGGGATAATGGTGGACACTTACTAGATGGGATGCCTGTTCAAGGAGATCTAGCCCTACTGCTCAGAGTCAATGACCCCAAACCAAAACGTTAGGCCATGAATGGTCAATACTATTAGAGCCAGTGTCATAGCAAAAGATAACAAATGTTGGCTAATACTGATGAATCAGTTCTAGTGGCCTGTGTTTTGGTCCTACTCTAAAAAAAAACAGGTTCTTCTGAAGTAGAGGCTACCTCGAAGAGACTAAAGTAGGTGGTAGGAAAAAGCAAAACTTTTCCCTTTTCACACTGCTCTCCATCTTCTTATTTACCTTTGCCCCTCCCAGTTTTGTGACCTCTGTGCTGTCATCTGTAGGGAGCAAACTGATCTTGCATACCTGTTGTCTCAGTAACTGAAGGTGATATAATGTATGAGGAAAACCAAACTGGGTCTAGCCTTCCAATGGACCGTGGAAGAAACTCGTCCTCTGTTAACTAACTTAAAGCACATGACTTCTAGTTTTGAACAACACAGTCTGAATAGGCATTTAATACTTGTCTCCTAAAATTCCGCATGCCTTTGTTCCTCCAAAGGAAGGTTCACTTATCTGGGTCTGATGGATAGGTCCTGCTGCCCCAGAAATGACCTGGGAGTGAGTGTATTTTGATAGGGTGCCTCATTCCTACATGTATAGCACTTGCACTTTTACTCAAGAACACTTGGGGAGATGTACACAGACTGAGGAAATCATTATCTCTCCTGCCCCCAACATGACCTGGAAGTCAAAACTCAGGATGTGATTGTATTTGTAAACTTAGATTGCTCCATTTGTGACACAGATTCTCACCTTGATTGGCCTTCTTCTCGGTGTGTACCAGGGACGGGTCATCTGGTCCTCTGTATTTAACAATTCCGTATCAAATATAAACAGACACGGGGGCTTGCTAGGCTTGCTACCTGTTAACCTCAATTAAGCTTCCACATCACAGAATGTTATAGTCCTGAGATGTTTGGTTCATTTGGGGCAACTACTATAGCTTCAGGATTACAGTTCTGACCTACTATCCTAAACATTTACACCAATGATCAACCATGCTCTTGCCTTAGCTAAGGAAAATCTATTTTGTGCCTTAATAACCCAAGGATTTAAATACATGAAATTGGAAGGAATAAAACATGTGGAATGTTGGAATTGGAAGGAATAAAAGGAACAAAAAATTGAGGGATTGAGGATATTGCTCAATGGTAAAGCAAATGCTTGTATGCATGAGACTGAATTCAATCCCCAGCACTCTTAAAACACACACACACATACAAATATGCAATCTTCTTTCTACTCATCCATACCCTGACACTCCCCCTAGGGCCCACCAGCTGCTAAGATGAATCATTATTGGCCAGGAATTCTTTTCTGGCCCCTGGAAGAAACTCGTTTACTTGTTCTTTATAGGACTGTGATTTTCAACCACTGTACCATTGGCCAATGCCAGTCCATGTGAAAAGATTGAGGGTCACAGATTACAGAGCTTCAAAGTTGGGTATAGCCTTGATGAGAGATGGCTAAGTAAGCCAAACAGAAATAGTTACTTATCCAGCCAGTTTTTTTCTGTGAAGCTTCCTAACAGTATTTAGGCAGATTTATTTAAAGGGAAATCCCTTGGCACTTTCCCAAATATATGGAAGTTTTGTTTAGTTTTTCCAATTAGGTCATTAACATAAAATCACCACAGACATGGTAAGGAGCTAAATTTTTGACTTTATGTTTTTCACTTTCTTGTTAAGAAAGTGCTCTTGACCCTCTTGATGTCCTGTTTATGCTCCTCAGGAATCATGGATTGAGCCATGTTTGCCTCTTGGGGCCAGGACCAGGGAAGAAGTGGCTCACTTTGTCCCCTTTCATATTATCTCTAACGTGGCAGACCTCTTGGAGTTCTCCCTGTGGTGATTTTCAGAGCCCCAATGAAAAAAGCGATGCTACCAGAGTTTAGATTGTCCAGACTTCCAGCTCTTTCCTTGGGGGCTGTTTTGACAAAGACTGGAGCAGGATTTTAGAAAGCAGAGACCTCTTCTGCTCTGTTGTTTGCTTCTCACTTGTGAATACTCTCACAGTAGTTTTCGTGACCCAAAAGAAAGTGCAGCATACTACTGACAAGACAAATTGTAAAAATAAAGTGCTGCTTCAAATTTAGATGAAGGCTAATTACAAAGCATTAGTCAACCAAATATAAATAATCTGATGTATAACTCTATCCAGAATGAGGCGTTTACTAGCCACTAGGGAAGGGTGAGTGCTGGTTCTGGGATTTTCAGCATCAGAGACAAACTCACTCTCTCTCCTGTTGGGTTCAAAGCAGGAATTTGTCCAAATGCCTTCATGTTTGGTGCCTTAATACACAACAGCCGTGAGCCTCTGAAGGGCGCTCAGAATCCCACAGAGAACACCCCTTCTCTTTGAGGCGCTTTTTTCATATATTCAACCCGAACAAAGGTTTCGTCTAAATAGGAATGGATTTTTCTGTCTACAGATTAATTGGGACTAATGGTGAGTATATTGTCCTGATTCAGACTGAGGAAAAGGCCATGTCTTTAGACTTATCTGGCTTTTTGTGTTATGTACTTGAAATAATCTGGTAACAGTGTAAGTATAGGGTGCTTCCTCACTTTCCCTTGACTTGGTACTTTTGGACATGAAAGGTAGTTTTTTTTCCCTCTCACATGTGAAGAAAAAAATTCATCAAATTTGAAATATGGATCCTGTGTACAGGGTAATAATGTAATAATAACTTAATAACTCAAATATTATTTTTAAAATGTTCCTCTTCTATGTGCATATAGAATACATGTTCTCATGCCAGCAGTACAAAATATAAAAAGTTTGAAAGCTTCTATGTTTACCTATGTTGTAAATGTTTCTGTTCCTATGAGATAGTTTGTCGGATGCTTAAGACTGATAGGGCTCTTGTTTAGGGATAGAGGGAGAGACATGTGTATTTCCTTGAAAGCAGAAACTTTAGATACAAGTTCTGTTTACATATTCTGTTTACATTACATTTCTGACTCCAGTCTTGAATTGCCATAGAGGCCAGGAGCATTGCAAACCATGGCATGGAATGGTATCTATTCTAAGTGCTTAAAACATATTGATGTCAGTGGGAAAAATGTGGTTATCTTTACAATGAAAGGAGAGTGTAGGAAGTCAGCTGCAAATAAAGAGATTTCTAGTGAAAACACTTACACTCAAGTTTGCAGTGCAAGGCAGGAAGGAACCTTGGTGTTTTGAGACAGACGGGTTCTTCCATAAAGAAGTTTTAACCCGAGAGTGGGACAGAGAGAGAAACTATTTGGGCCTAGGACAGAGGGTAGAAGCTGATATTCTATGTAGGTTACCTGTGTGATTTGGAAGAGATACTGTAACTTCCTCTGGAGGCTGTTTCTTAGAGCAAAATTGAGATGGTGATATTGCTCAGGGATATATGGTATTAAGTAATTTGATCTATCTAAATATGCTCTATGCCTCTGATATTTATTTGAGGCTGGATTCTGAATTTTGAGAATACCAAGTGTGTTCTGGCTAATATTAGTCGGATACTTGGCAGTTCTAACAAAGAGGGATAACTATAAGGTTCATAGTCATTGTCTTCATAGAGAAGAACTTTTTAACTTTCTCTTTTGGTACACAATTCTGGAGGTTACGGCTGCTCTGTGATTCCTTTGGCCATTTGGTACATGCATGATACTATATATTTTGTGGTACAAAATGACTGCCTCATTTTTTGACCAGAGCCTTGTTTAGAGATAGGGTAAGTCCAATAAGGTGGGTGATTTTTTTCCTTACATGACAGTGTTTGGAGTTTGCATGATTCATATCCAACTTAAATCTTAAAAAGATAAGAATGAGGGATTTTACCAAAAGAGGTGATCTTGTGGATTGGAACTTGCATAGGTAGAAAGAGAGCCAGTGGAGTGGAGGTTAGATTAGGTGTTGCCACAACCAATAGAGGAACCCAGTGCAGATATAGGACTTTTGCCTATAAGATAAGGAAAACCAGATGGGTGAATGATTCTCTCACCTGGATGACTTTTTAAAACACCAAGTGTGTGGCCTTAATCCCAGAGTGATTGAACAGGTCTGCGTTGAGACCTGAGTATTTGCATTTCTAACAAAGTCACAGATGACTTGGAGTGGCATGCACCAGATTGTCTCTAAAGATCATTGGCACCTCTGAGCCACTATAGCACGGCCAGTTGCTTAAGAGGAAGCACTGCCAATGATAACCAGGAGCTTCAAGCCTCTAGACCCAAGTGCGCAACTGGGTTCTTGTCCAGAGTATTCTGATCCGCCAGTCAGGGAAGAAGAATCTGGGTTTCTAATGAGCATGTCTTGACATGGATGAGAAGGTATTGCTAGAATGACAGCTTTTATCAGATTGAGCCATGTTAGCAATTAAGGCAGAGAATTGAGGTCTTCTGAGGAAATAGGGGTTGTCTTTTGTTATTATAGATGCCCCTGAAAAAACAGGAGATGGCCCTTATGTATAAATAGATCCATGGAGTATATGTGCTGCCGAAGCAAGCACTAGATGGATCCATTTGGTTCTAAGATAGCTGCATGATTTAAAGACAAAGAGAAATTCAAGCCCCACATCTCCCCACCCACTTCTACCTTGCACAAGTCTTCCTTACTTCATTGGCAAACACTAAAATAGTCAAAAATAGTGTATAGTTGTTTAGAAAAAAACTAATATGTCAGCTGGGTATAACTAAGTTATCACACTATGGTGAAATTTCCTCCCAGTGATTACAGCTATGAACTCAGTTTTGGCCTTTTTATTAAGGCCTTGCTAATTCCATGGTACTTAATTTTTTTCATTACCCTCAAAATGTATGAGCACATAAATGTGTCAAAAATTGGTTTAGAACAAGCTAGAGCTGGCACCTATGATCAGTTTGAGAACCTTCAGTTACCCTGCATCAGCAGTTAGCTTCCCTAAGTCTTCAATCTCACACTTGGAATCATGTTTGCTATTTTCTGCTGTGTCCTTTCCTCATTCCTTTTCATTGTCTTCCTGGGAACAGCTGATCGGCATGCTGCTGGCTTGCTGTCTGTCCCGATTCATCACGGCCAACCAGTATGAGATGGTGTAAAAAGAAGGTACGTGGCAATAGGAGCATTTCGTTTTGAAGTTCTTACTTTGGACCACATGATGCCCTCCAATGACATTGATCTTGGTGGCACTTTTCTAGGTGTTGGAATGTCCTTTCTGTGATCCCAGGGAGGAAAGGTGGCCATTATTATTGTGGCAAATATATGGATGCTTTTTTAGATTGTTACTTTAATTAAGTCCTTATAAACGATGAATCACCTATTTTAATTTCTCTTTTAGTCTTTCAGGAATGGCGGAGTAAGATACCTGTTTTAAAAAGGAACTGCAGCAATCTTTGAAAGACTTCCAAAGAATATTAGAGCACAGTACATAATACACCTGCCCTGCTTCCCCTAACCCTCCTCCCCAAGTGCAACTGACACTCCACACAGTCTCTGCTCCACCTTTCAGCCCACATCTGTGTTAGCGTTAACATTTTGTGAAACCTCTTTGTGCCAGAGTGTAGCCAGTTCCCTGCATCTAGTCCTAGTGGACCCCACCCTGGGCCCTGTGAGATCCAGCTCCTCCATCTGTATTTGGTCCAACTACAGCTCATTGTAGGTGATGGGTTTTCACATCATCACTGGCCCCACTGGGCCTTGCATGTAGTGTGGGAGGCTCCTGTTAGCCCTTTATCATGATTGATAAATACCACACCCCTTGATGTAGATAAGCAGATAGATTTCTGTTCTTTTCACTTTATCTTCTTTGGTTTGGTTTTCCCTTTACTGTTTTCTCTTTCCTGCCTTCTTCAGGCTGCCTAGGGCATGTAAAGAAGTACATCAATAATTGTTTTGAGGAGAAAAAGCATGTTTCATGCATGATGGAAAGTTGGTTGAGCTTTAGGTGATCTCTCTGTTCATTGTTGGTTACATGCCTAGGTTAAATGTAGACACTTTTAGTGCACTTATGCCTCTAAATTGAAATCTGTATAATCCTGTTACAAAGCTGTATCGTTGCTTCCTGTGAGGGCAATGCTATTTTACCTTTCCCTATTAACTGCTAGAGTGTTATTTTGCTTCTTTCTGTAATTTTTCCTTGAAGCGACATTATAGACATCGAGGGTCTCATCAAATCAATTTTAAAAGTGAGTGAGAAGGGGGAAACAAAAGATATTTTCAAAAGATCTTTAAAACTATTGCCTCTGTCTAGCATGCCAACAAGAATGCATTGATATTGTGAACATTTGTGATACATGTATTAATAAATAGAATCATTAAAAATTGCTGTGTACTGGTTTTGTTCTTGTTATTATGTAAGTTCATAACCACATATTTCCATTCCATCTTGTTCCACAGGGGATTGGAGGTGGAGACCACCTTACACCCTAACATAACCTGATACATGTTTCTACCACACAAAAATAGCTTGTGTAAAAGCTGAATGGTTAGGTTGTTTTATGGACATTTCAACAACTTGAATCATTTATCATAAATAGGATTTATTGTTGGGCTAGAGCAATAGCACAGTGGGTAGGGCATTTGCCTTGCACACGGCCGACACGGCCGACCCGAGTTCAATTCCTCCATCCCTCTCGTTCCTCTCAGAGAGCCTAGCAAGCTACCAAGAGTATCTCGCCCACACCTCAAAGCCTGGCAAGCTACCCGAAACGTATTCAATATGCCAAAGACAGTAACAAGTCTCACAATGTTACTGGGCCCACTCGAGCAAATCAATGAACAGTGACAGTAATTCCCAATATTACACTACCTACAGAGAAATAATGACTCCCAGATTTAGACCATGCTGTGATTGAGGAAGGGCACACAATGGTAGAAATAACTGGGACCCCAAAACAGGACTTTCCAAGAACTAGAGCTTTGGCATGCAGATTATTTTGAATCAAGGTCAGTCCATACCCTGCAGGCTCACATGTTACTGGGCCCGCTTGAGCAAAATCAGTGAACAATGGGAGTACAGTGACAGTGACAGGATTTATTGTTGTCTGTGAATATAGGACCTTCATGTCATTTCAGATCAGAAGCAAAATAATTTTGCACTCTTTTTAAAGTCTAGATGTCATTTAAAAGGGTAAGTGAAAAGGGGCCCGTGGGAGAGCCAAGACCAAGCCACTAGGAAGGAGACCACTGGAATGTCCAGTTATCTCAGCAGTGGAGCTGGCGAAAGGCAGATGGGGGTTCCATAGGCATTTGACTTTCAAGTAGCCTCCCATGTGGGCTGAAAGTAGGCTATAGACAGCATGATGGCCACTTAATAACTCTATTGCAAACCACAACACCCAAAAGGAGAGAGAGCAGAAGGGAATGTCCTGCCACAGAGGTTGGGTGGGGTGGAGGGGATGGGGTGAGGGTGGTAAGAAGGATGCTGGGACCATTGGTGGTGGAAAATGGGCACTGGTGGAGGGATGGGTACTCAATCATTGTATGACTGAAACGCAAGCATGAAAGTTTGTATGTCTATAACTCTACCTCACGGTGTTTAACTAATTTGAAAATAAAATAAGCACATATCCCTTTCTTTCTTATCTGCGTCAACTAAATTCAGTCTAGAGAAAAGGTGGCATCACATTATTCATTCGTTCAATGCCCTGATTTATACTGTAGCACTGTAGCACTGTCCTCCCATTGTTCATCGATTTGCTCGAGCGGGCCCAGTAACGTCTCCATTGTGAGACTTGTTACTGTGTTTGGCCGACCTGGGTTCGATTCCTCTGCCCCTCTCAGAGAGCCGGCAAGCTACTGAGAATATCTCGCCCACACAACAAAGCCTGGCAAGCTACCCATGATGTATTCAATTTATACTAAAATATATAAAATAAATACACCTTACATTTGATTTAAAGAACATTTTAGTAGTAGGTACAGTATAGCATCTATCTGCAACCTATTATTACTACTTAATGAATTATGTTTTTAAGAAACTAGTAGCAATGTTAATCTATTCTCAAATAAGTGATCTAACCCTCTTTAAAAGAGTTTTTATGTAGTTTTTATAAAAAGAAACTAATTATTATAGAAATAACATTCTAACTGTATGCTTATTGGCTTGAGCTCTATTTGGAGTAAACTGAAATCGGCTTGTAAAGGGCACTGCTCCAAACCTTCAGATATTCCCTCTTTGGTGTTTCATTTAAAAGATCTCTTCCTTGAAAACATTTTTCCAAAACTTTTCAAAGTTTTATTTTAAATTTTATATGTTACAGGGCTTAAGATATGGTACAGTGAGCATGCATTTGCTATGCATGTGACCGACCTGGGTTCTATCCCTGGCACCCGGGTGGTCCACTGAGCCCCACCAGCAGTGATTCCTGAGCACAAATCCAGCACTAAGCCCTAACTACCACTAGATGTGGCCCCCCAAACAAAAAATATAGAAGTTATATGTTAAATAAGGCATTTCTATAAAATCCTAAATAGACCCAATAGGTTCACCTTTTTTGTTAGCAGTGTTAAGTAGTATATTGATATTCATATTTGTATCCTTTGTTGGCTGGAACGATAGCACAGCAGTAGGGCGTTTGCCTTGCACGCAGCCAATATGGCCAACCGAGTTTGATTCCTCCGCCCCTCTCGGAGAGCCCGGCAAGCTACCGAGAGTATCTCGCCCGCACGGCAGAGCCTGGCAAGCTACCAGTGATGTATTCGATATGCCAAACACAGTAACAAGTCTCATGATGGATATGTTACTGGGCCCGCTCGAGCAAATGGATGAACAATGGGAGGACCGTGACCGTGACCGTGACCGTGACCGTGACCCCTCTCGGAGAGCCTGGCAAGCTACGGAGAGTATCTTGCCCGCATGGCAGAGCCTGGCAGCTCCCCGTGACGTATTCAATATGCCAAACACAGTAACAACAAGTCTTACGATGGAGATGTTACTGGGCCCACTCGAGCAAATCGATGAACAACGGGAGGACCGTGACCGTGATCATACTTTGTTAAAAAATCCATACACTTTCTAAATTAAGGTTTTGCCATTATATAATCTTCATATGAACCATCTAGACCAAGGTCGTTTTGAGTTTACAGCTGTATTGTTTCTATTTTGAATAACTTGTACAAAGTGTACATTATGCATTTAAATGAAATGTAAAAACATTTAAAGAGCTTTTGTTTTGGAGGCATAACATTACATATGGTAAATTACACAAAATGTAAGTTTATAGCTTGATTTTTTATATATTTATAAACCAGTCTGTCAGAGAAGATAAAGAATATTTTCAGCATCTCTGAAGGTTCCTTCCTGCCCCTCTCAGTAACTACCTCCACCACACAAAAGTAATCACTGCTCTGAATTCTATTGGGTTTTTTAAAATCTGTTATTAGGTTTCATATTACACAGAACCATACAGGAAAGATTTTTTCATGTACCTTCTTTCAACATTCTGTCTGCAAGAATTAGAGGGTACAATGTAAATTTAGTCTCATTTTCAATGTTGTATAGGATACCACTGTATGAATAGCACACTCATCAATTCTTCCATTGCTAGATAATTGTTTTCACATTTGCTCTACTATGAATAAAGTTGCAGTGAGCATTGTGTTATACATTTTTGGTGGACAGAAACACATATGAATGGAAGTGTTAAGAAATAATTTATATTAACTTTTAAAGATATTTGCCTAATGTCTCTACAAAGGAATTATACTAACACATACTCCCTATTAGCAATGAGAAAAAAATCTTGTTACTCCACATTCTCACCAACACTTACTGCACTTAGGATGTTTTTTGTTTGTTATTATTTGTGTGTGTGGAGGTGGGGGCACACCTGGCAATGCTCAGCTTATTCCTGGCTCTGCACTCAAGGATCACTCCTGATGGTGGTCGGAGCACAATATAGAGAGTTATGAATCCAGCCAGGGTAGATTATGTACAAGGCAAGCACTCTACCTGCTGTACTCTGGCTCCACTCAGAATGTTTTAATTGAGAAATTCTATGAATATATCTTTTTTTAATTTCCCCTCACCTTATTGTTAATGATAATAGTAGTTGGAAAACTTGATATCCTTTTTGGTGAGTTTTCAAATCATCTGTTTTAAAAAATTCAGTTGCATTTCCTGATTTGTAGAATTTTAGTGTAATGACTTCAAGATCTTTCTTGAAGATATATATTAAATATATTTTCTCCTTTTTTATTTTTTTAAATTTTGTTTTTTAAAGCTGTTCACAGTAATTTATTAAATATTTCAACACCAATCCCACCACTATTACACCTTCCCACCACCATTATTTCTAATTTTACCACCACCACCACCCAAGCCTGCCCTAAAGGCAGATGCTAAGTAATTTATTTTGTACTGCTTGTTGTGAATAATCCACTAAAAACTATCCAAAAGTTTTCCTTAAAATAAAGTGTGTAAAAATTGTTATATCTCACCTTGGAGACTTTAAGCCCCTAAATAAGAGATCACTGTATAAGATATCACTAACATGTTACATATTTAGCCTTCTATGCTGATATATATATACATATATATGTATATATATTTCATCAAGTCCTAACTTGTGGCTTCCATGTATAGTGAGGTAGATTTTTTTCCAAATTTATTGAGGTGTAATTGACTTGATACACTTATGAAATGGAAAATGATTACCACTGTAGGGTTAACTCATCACCTCATAGTTTCAATTATTTTTTGTTATGAGAATATTAAGAGCTTTTATCAGCTTTCAAGTATATAACAATGTTAACTATAGTCACTATAATATACGTTAGATTCCTGGAACTTGTACATCTTACAATATCTGAAATTTTGTACCCTTTCACCAACATCTCTCTGTTTCTACTGCTTACAGTTCCTGATAAATGTTTCTACCTGTTTCACTGATATGGGTATTTTTAGATTTCCTATCTAAGAGATTGAATACAGTGGTTTTTTTCTAATTTATTTCATGTAGAATAATATTCACATGGCGTATTTATATTGTCACAAAAGGCAGGGTTTCCTTTTTAGCTGAATAATATTTTTACATGTGATCGATAGCACAGCGGGTAGGGCGTTTGCCTTCCAAGTGGCCAACATGGCCGACCCGAGTTCGATTCCTCCGCCCCTCTCGGAGAGCCCGGCAAGCTACCGAGAGTATTCGATATGCCAGACACAGTAACAACAAAGTCTCCAATGGAGACGTTACTGGGCCCGCTCGAGCAAATCGACGATCAACGGGAGGGCCTTTACCTTTACCTTTACCTTACTCTATATATTACACAGTATATCATATTTATATTCTACATCCATTCATCTTTAGTGGATACTGGTTTT